CTGATACCATCTCTGACTGGACAACCTTCGTGGCTGCCAGCTGGTCTCTGTTAATCCGTTCTGGCCCCTTTGTCCATTCACTACTAAAGAGCAGCCAGAGTCATCTTGCCACATCACAAGTCTTAAAAATAAAGAGATAAAAAGTGTTGAAACTTAGGAAAAAAATTGTGTTTTTAAAAACACAAAGCTTCTCATGTTGCTTCCTTACAGCTCTTTGACAGCTTCCCATTGATTTGATAAAATAACCCAAATCCTTACTATTCTCTTATTCAACAAATACTGACTGACCTTTCTGCTGAAGGCCTTGTATCACGTTGTGTCCTGGGGATGCAGAGATAAATGAGACTTGCCTCCTATCCTCAAGGAACCCACCATCTAGCAAAACAGTAGTTGATCAAAGTTTACTCATTTATTAATATTCACTGAAATCCTACAATTTACCAGCAGAGTGCTGGAAGGAACTTGGGTGTCTGTTGACTTCGCTATGACTTTAGTGAAATGGATGGCTTGAACAAACATGGCCTACACTGCTCTCAGGATAATTTTGACCCTGTCCGCCTAAATCCAGAGCACATAGTCTTAATCATTATTTATGTCACTTATTGTCAAGTAATAATGCTGCATAGCAAACAACCAGAAAAAAAATCCAAAGGAGTTCGGCGGAAGTGTTTATTTGCTTACACGTTGGGGTGGTCAGCTAAGCAGCTCTGTTCATCTTGGTTAGGCATGCTCACGTGTCAGGGCAGGCTATTGACTGATCTAGGCTGGCCTTGGCTAGGACGACCAGGGACGCTTTGCACTATGTGTCTTATTTTTCAGTAGAGTAGTCTAGGTGTGTTCTCGTAGTGATGGCTAAGGCTCAGGAAAGAGCAGGCAAGCACAGTCTCACAGTGCTTTTTAAGCTCTGCTTGCATCCTGTCTTGCTAACGTAACAAGTTGACTAAAGTGAATTACACAGCTAATAACTCCAGAGTCAGAATGGGTACTGCAAAGTTACATGGCCAGAATGCGAATACAGGGAGAATTGAGGCCGTAAATTGTAATCCATCACAATGCTGTTTTCTCTTAATACACTTTGTGCATAACTGATCATAGGACTTACCAAAGTAAGTTGAGACATATAATGTGTTAAGGGTTTACCCCTCCCCCAACTTGGGTAACTCACTATGGACGGAGACCTGTCTTCAGCACAATGTTTGGCATATAATAGATGCCAACAAATGTTAAAGTAATGGAATTATTGGTAGGTTAACTTTCGTCTGTTTACTTGAGATAATTAAGAGGATAGTAATACCCACTGCAACCACCTTTCTGAGGGTTAAAAAGGGGAAAAAATGTAGAAGTACATACCATTTTCTCAAGAGAATTGGTTCTTCCCACCCACCTTCCTTTCTCACTGCCTTTACATGAATTTGGGAAAATGGTAAATGATTTAATCTTGGCCTATTTTAGGCAGGAAGTTGTAGGATAGTGATCCCCCTATTAAAACCATCTTCTGTATCTTCTCATTAAAAATTAATTTTGTATAATACTCATCTCCTAAAGAAGTCAGGTCCCCTTGAAGGCTTAAGCCTTTGAACCATTTGCAGTTTGTCTTAAATTCCTATAATGAAGGGATAGATTTCTTCTTTCTCATTCCCACAGAGAACTTATGCAAAGAGGAAAGGCAGTTTAGAATGGATAGAGGACTGTAATTTGGGGGAATGGAGTTCTTTGAGGGAGAACAAGCCTGGTAGGTGCCACAGTATATGTGTGTGTGGGGAGGTGGACATTGGACTGGCAGAGGGGAGTATGAGATATTCCAGCAGGAAAGCCAGGGGCTAATGGGGAGGGCAAGGAATAAAAACCCAACCCTTTCTGCCAGTTTATCTTTAATTTTGTGGTTGCAGCATGGGGGGTTGTTTTTGATGCCTGATACAGATAGTTGTGTTTTATTAATATTTCTAAATTAAAATGTATAATATATATTTATATAGTCTTATTTTTTCCATATGGTTTATATAATTATATATAATTAAATATATATAACTCTATAAATAAATATATATATATAATTATATATATGTATAACTATACCCCTTTCTTTCTTGCAGTCTCCCAGATGCAGGGCAGACACACATCTGGCTTCTATCAGTTGGGGAGTAGCTTTAAGCACATCCTGTCAAATTGTCTGTTCCCAAAAGCAATACCAACACATTCAGTGAATGTTATTTTTTCCCCACAGTTATGTTCTTGATTGGACCACAAATTTTTCCATAATACTGTACTTGAAAAATAGGACATTCTAGCTCTTTGTACATAATCAGCCCCCTACCTCCAGCCACTTTTAGAAAACTTGTCTTTTAATGAAGTGTTAAGTAGATTGTATTCCAGCTCTGAAAAAAAAGTAGATTGTATTCCAGCTCTAGTTACACCATTTTTCTTTTTTTCTGTGATTGAGTTGTTCTCATTCTTTATATCTGTGTACTAACTGGGGCTGGTATAGCTAACTGCCTCCTGTCCCACTCATGTCTGGGACATGCTGGATTTGCTGCCAGAATGGTTATAAATCAGTTATTCACAAAATGAAATCAGATTATTCATTTGAAATGAATTTAAAGTTAGTTAAAATAGTTTGAAAGTTCTATAATTTAAACTTTATTTTGTTAATTTTACTACAAAAAGGTTTAGTAGGTTTGAGATGTTTTTAAAAATTATTTTTAGGGCTTCCCTGGTGACGCAGGGGTTGAGAGTCTGCCTGCCAATGCAGGGGACACGGGTTCGTGCCCCGGCCCAGGAAGATCCCACATGCTGCGGAGCAGCTGGGCCCGTGAGCCATGGCCGCTGAGCCTGCGTGTCCGGAGCCTGTGCTCCGCAACAGGAGAGGCCACAACAGTGAGAGGCCCACGTACCACAAAAAAGAAGAAAAAAAAAATTTTTATTTTTCTTTTAGGAAAAACATTATAAATAGGCGCTGCATTCTCTCCAGGGCATTTCATTGACAGTATTTTTCAAAGTTTAACCTTAACTGCCAAAGGCTATAATCAGGTACCCATAATATTTTTTTGCTTTCCAGTTGTAACATAATTCATGGTTAGGCTGTATTTTTGCAAGAAATTTGTCTGAGGTGTATGTGGTGAGGAGGTGCATTTTACCAGTGTCTGATGGAAGCCATCTTCCCTGAATACATCAGAGAAATTAACAAAAGGACCCAAGTTTTAACAGCAACAACTTCTTTAATAGGGGAAGGGCATGATCTTGTTCTAGACTTTTAAATTATAAATTGAACAATTATTTGATAACTTACAAAAGTAAGTTTCATCTTATTTTTTAAAAATGCAAGTAAATAAGGAAGAGGAACATGGGGCAGGTTATTGCATTATCCTAGCTTTTCCCTTTAAGTGATCTTCATTTAAAATAGCCTGTATGACTTCTCAGGTATCTGCTGTATCTACTGCATCTGACTGGTAAATCAGATAGTTGCTAGCATTCAGTTTTCTTTTGCATATGCAAAATGGATCTGAAAAAGTCACAAGGAATTATTGTTTTCAAATATGTAGTCTCTTCCTTCCAAAATGATGGCAATCTACATCTTCCTCTCAATTATGAATATTAGGAATATTTTAAAAAGACTAAACTTTTGGAAGAAATTTGATTTAATTAAATCTTCTTAATTCAGTGGTGCATTTTGTAACCTAAGCTGTATTGTATTTACCATTAATTTTGAACTAATGTTCTGTACTTGATGAACCAAAAATGAACCAAAAATTCCTAAATACCTTTACATTAATAGATCATGATCAAGTTGAATTGTACTCTAGGAAGTCAATTAGTACCTCTTCCACCAGTTCTCTAGCTCCAGGACAATGTTTACAGGGTCTTGTGCAATAGAACCCTCATTACCTCCTGTCCTCCCACTAGAAATGTGTGCCGCATACTGCACATGTATAAGTGAATGTGTCTGTATATGCCTAGCTCCAGGCTTAGGGAACAGTGAACTTTTGTTTCTGGCAAATGCAATTGATATTAGTCAAGTATAAATGAAAGTGATTCTTTCTTATCTGTACCTTGGTAGCACTATGCAGGGAAATGTTTTATGTTTATGTGGGTATATCTTAGGTTCATTTTTTATAAGTAATATTTGTTAGTATTTTTATTAGAAATGTATATAAAGAGGAAAACAAAAATAATGTATAATCCTGTCATCCAATTACTTTTAAAATAATAAACCATTATTTAAAATAATAAATCACTCATGTACCCTTCAAGAAAAAATTTATATGTGCACCCCAGGATATGTGTATGATTATACATACTTTTTCACTGACACAAAAGTTCTCATACACCGTGTCATTATTCTTTTGCCATAATGCTTTGTAAGAATGAGAAAGTACTTTATTGTGAGACTATATCATAACTTATAATCATAATTTAGCCAATATCAATCATACTGATGGACATTCAGGTTGTTTCTAGTTCTTTGGCTGTTACAAACAGTGTTTCAGTGAGCATCTTTGGACATGATACTGGTGCTTTTGCAAATGTTCTTGTGGATTAAGTTCCCAGCTGGGAGTTAACTGGCTCAAAGGGGCACTATTTTTAAGAGCACATAAAGCAGTGAACTACACATTGCAGGGTGACAGTTCGTTATTGTTTGAGTACATCTGAGTGGCAGAAATTGACCAAGAGAGTTATTAGAGTAAAAATAAAACTGTACTGAGAGTTACTGGGATGTACCGTGGACTGTGAATATAGTGGTAATAACCTATAATTAACTGTCATCAACTTCAAACTTTACTGACTTAAAATTTTTGTCAGCATTTTCCCTCCGTCGTTTCACAAGCAGTCGGTAAACATTCTCAGGACTCATTTTAGATCAAAGGCCATGAAAAAAAGAAACTAGCCACAACCTTCCTGTGCTTAACTACATCTTCAGAATTGGATGCTCTAAGAAGATTGTGTTGTAATGTTCAGAAACCAGTTTGCATTTTCAATTAATGAGTGTGTTTTCCCTCCCTCAGGTGGAAGGGAAGATTCTGGAAAAGTAAAACATCGAAGAGGCATGGTGCTGCCCCTGTAACTTGGAACTGGAGAGGAGGCAAGATGCTGGCATAGCTGTTGAACTGAGAGCCTGCTATGCCAGCATACTGCCACCTCTCTTGTCTGACAGCAGCCATCGCCACCTGCGTGCCGCTCCTCCACGCATTGCTCCGGATGTGTACCCTTTCTTGGATGTGGGTTTCCATTACATGGCACCTCTCACCTCCCTGACCTCTCCTGCCATACTCTGAGTCACTTCATTTTAGCCGCACTGCCTTTCTGGCTGATCCTTGAACACATCCAGGATGTTCCTGCCTCTTTCTCTTCATTTGGGTCTTAGCAAGGACATCTCCTCCTCAGGGAAGCCTTCCTTGACCACTCTTTAAAACAGCTGTCACATACCATAGTCACCCTTCATGCCTGTACCCTGCCATATGTTTTCAAAACATTGGTCACCATCTGAAACACATGTGTTGGCTTGTTGAGTATCTTGATCTCCCTCGTTAGAATGTAAGCCCCTTGGAAGTTAGGGACCTTGTGTCTTGACCAACCACAGTATCCCCAGAGCCTGACACATAGTAGTCCCTTCATGCATATTTTTGAGACTCCACCCTGATTTTATTATGCTGGAGAGATGTCAGTCTCTTCCCATTTTGAATGGTTTTGGTAAAACCGTTCTGGGCCTGCAAACCTAACTCTTTAAAACAGTCCCAAAATACAGTCAGTCCTCTGTATTCAGACTGAAATTTGATCCAAAGTTTGTTGAGCATGCAGATGCAGAGAGCCAGCTATACTACACCATTTTATATAAGGGACTTGAGCATCCATGGATTTTGGTATCCATGGGGACTTTTGGAATCAATCCCCCACATATACCAAGGGATGACTATATAGATCATTGGGTCCACAGACTCATGGAGCTCAGCAAATCATGGTGAGAAAAGCATGGGTTTCAGAATAAAACTTATGTTCGAATCTCACCACCGGTATTACCTATGGTGTGTTCTCGGACAGTCATTTAACCTTTGAGCTACAGTTTTTCTCAAGTGCAAAATGAGGATACTACTACTAAACCCTCAGGATTCTTGAGACTAAGAAATGAGATATTTTAGCCAGATAATTCTTACTTTGTGTCTAAGTTAGTGTCTTAAATTTCTGAGGTATGTGTAGTAGTAGTAGACACCCAACAAATTTTATTTTACTACCAAGGAAAAAAAGTTAACTTTTCTTTAGCTAGAAACAGGTAATCAGCCATGGAATGTGTGGAACTGCGTTGCCAGAACTATAGCACATGTGGAATTCTTTGTTAAGACACAGAGATCTCAAAAGGCCAAGGAATTAATTGTCCAATATCTCAAATTCTTCTCTCTGGGTTGGTTCTTACTCCTCTGTCTTCTTTTATTTCTAGAGTTGCTCGTTGTCTGTAGATCTCTTTTAAAAGCAACTTTTACAGATTCACTTTACAGAATCAAAATATTTAACAAATACTGTTTGCTGATCATGTTTTTTAAGCATTGAAGTTTTAGTGAAACGTTTTGCTTTTAATAAACTAAATTTTATTTTAATTTTGATGCTTTTCCAAGAAATAACAGTCACTACTCATGACTTATTTATTTTTTTATAAATTTATTTATTTTTGGCTGCGTTGGGTCTTCATTGCTGTGCGTGGGCTTTCTCTAGTTGTGGCGAGCGGGGGCTACTCTTCTTTGTGGTGTGTGGCCTTTTTGTTGCAATGGCTTCTCTTGTTGCGGAGCATGGGCTCTAGGCACGCTGGCTTCAGTAGTTGTGGTACGTGGGCTCAGTAGTTGTGGCTCGCGGGCTCTAGAGCACAGGCTTGGTAGTTGTGGCGCACGGACTTAGTTGCTCTGTGGCTTGTGGGGTCTTCCGGGACCAGGGCTTGAGCCTGTGTCCCCTGCACTGGCAGGTGGATTCTTAACCACTGCGCCACCAGGAAAGCCCATGACCCATTTATTGTTGCTCATGGTATTATAACATCCAGAAACTGTGTATTATACATTTTTGTCTTGCCTCAGAGTATTATTAATCTGAACTGTGAATTTAACAAAAATACATAGCACAAAGTATGGCAGTTTTAGTCTACAAGTCTTATAAAAGTTCCATTGATACCTGAGGATGATTAGTTTAGAGACATCATTTAAAATTCAGTATGGTAAGTACCTTAAGCAATATTATGCTGCTTTCCTAATCTGAAGTTCTACAGATTTATCATCTCAATCTTGATGGTTTGTGTATTCATCACCTTGTTTTATTCTTTGAATTCTTGAAGTTATCAGCCAGAAATAAATGCATAGAACACCAGCCCTGAAGGGTCATTATGTAAGCTAATATTGCCCATGAAAACTTTTAAGAACCCACACAATAGCTGTAGCTAAAAACAGAGATCCACATCACCTTATTCATTCTTTATCTTGCTAGTAAAGAAAATCTGTGCAGAGTCAATAGGCTGGGACATTCAGTCTATTCTAGGAACTGCTGTTATTTAATACTTTTTTAACCTATAACTTTGTTCTAAAAACGTGTTTCGTGAGTTTGTTTGGGCTGCTTCTGCCTTTTTCAGACCTCCATTTTACCCTCATCTACATCCATTGAGAGAGATATCTACTACCCCTTGACCTCAGTACCACTGATGGCTGGATCCATAATGGAAATGAACCCTGAGGTCACTTCAATCAATCCTCCACATCTTAATGCATTTTACAGTAATTTGCTAAACACCTGAACCTTCTTTTTTATTTTAAGTGATCATGGGGGGAAAAACAAAACTTGGGATATAGAAACATCAAAATGAGAGGCTAAGAAATTAATATTCTAAAGTATCCAATAACTCCTCTAAGTCAGTGGTTTTTAAACTTTAGTGTTGCATTATCAGTCAACTGGAGAGCTTGTTAAAAATGAAGATCCGAAACCATCCCCTAGACATTCTGATTTAATAAGTCTTGATTGAGACTCAGGAATCTTCATTTTTAACAAGCACCTTATTTTGATGCAGTTTGACAATGCACTTTGAGAACACTTGTCTTATATCCTAAGTCACAGGGCAGATTTTTAAAAATCATATACAATTCCCAATATGGAACTTGGGCATGGTTTTGAAAGCAGCCTGCTTTCCCACTGCATCTGTGCTTATGGAAAACTGGAACAGTGTTTTGTAATTGTGCTTCATATTCTGAGATTTCTTATATAAACAGGCTATATAACTACACACAGGAGCACCATGGGCTGCTGATGTGCTTCTGCGGAGTTGTTTTTAACTTCAATTATCTTTTCTCCACTGGTTCATATTACAGTTTCCAAGATGTTTTCTTTTCTTTTCTGATTGACTTGATATTGACCAAAATCCTTTACCTCTAAATATACATTCTTCTGTAAGATTTCTGTTAAATTGCAAATGATATATGAGCTCCTCAAGGCAAGAGACTAAGTCTGATTGTGCAGAAGGGGAATTTTCAACATTTATAGGACTCCTACAGTGATAAATCTTTCTATAAACTAAAGGGTTACATCTTAATTGATCTATTTCTTAAGTTTAGACTTTTGTGGATTTTTTTTTTAATTGGGACATCTTTTCCTCTCTGAGACAGTATGGGGTAATAGAAAGAGCTTCAGAATGAAATGCAAAAAGACCTACGTTCTAGTCCGAGTCCTGTCATTTTCTAACTGTGTACATGAATTCGGACAGATCATTTAATCTGTTACCTTATTTGTAAATTGGGGGTAATAGTAGGAGAGACTATATGATATATTAGAAAATAGGAAAACACAGCTGTGAAAATTAAGCATGTAGGCAAACTGGAAGGCAATCTACAGAAAGAAAATAGTTGGACATTTTCAGTAGTAATTTAAACTTCTTTCAGTGTTTTGTTGCTTTATGTTGTTATTGTCTAATTTTAAAATTATTTAAAAATTATGACTCCCGGGTAAAAGGCAGAACTTTGTTCTCATTTAGCCTCAATCACTTATTTCCTAACTAACTCCAGTCAAAAGAGAAGGAAGATGATATTTTAGTTAGTTTTATCTTGAAGAAAGGTCCAGCTTCTCTTATCCTATTTTAAGCCTAGAAATAGCTTATAGGACTTAAAATAATGATAATTCTGTGAACCATATACCTTTCTCTATCTCATTGGCTTATTATGAGGTTCAAATTATGAAACTGCGTCAAAAATGGTAAGAAGTTATATGAAGTCCTAAGATACTGTTTATAAATTCTTTCCAACCCACCCTTTCTCCCTTTATCCCTACAAAAGTTTGCCTTTGAAGTGATTGAAATTTTAACAAAAATGAAACATGTTATTCTAAAGCTGGCTATAAAGTTTTAATTCGTAGGGTTCTCATTATTTATCAGTATACCTGTAGCAGCTAAACTGACTACAGAGGATTGTATGTTAGGCCCATCTTCTTTCAGTTCTGCTCATCTGGGAATGCGGAGGCAAAAAAGTGAGAAGCTTAGAGCATCCACTACAATGAATTTACTGTTCCATCCACACGTGTGACGAAACAAGCCAAAGTACTACTTTTAGTTTCACTGAAACTTAGATGATGTTTTTATTCCCATATAAATATTTTACATGTTTATTTAATGTATATTAGAAAAACTACACAGAGTTTCCTTTTGAAAGTAAATTTGTTTTAAAAGTTAATAAAATGTTACATTTATGGTAAGTGCATATGACAAATGTTGTGGAATTGCTGCCCAGGTAGTGGGAAACGGGAGTTTGGGTGAGCAAGAGCCTGCTCTGGGAGCAACAGGTGAGAGCTTTATGGATCTGGTGAGATGTTTCCTAAAGTCTCTTCAATGGATAGTCCAAACAGAGAAGTTCATGTATTATTCATAAATGAAGAAAATTTTAGTTTTGAGTGTTAATGGACTTTGCCTGTGCATTGCATATATGGTCATATACTTAGTTGCTGTCAGAAACTACTAATACTTCCCTGATGTAAAGATAATATATCTTATGTCTTTGAAAGCAAAGCCCAGTTGGTAAATGATAAGAAAGTCCATTTAAGTTGATTTGCCAGTTGAGCAAGTATTTGAGGCTAGGTGTGTGTTCTGTTTTTGGAGATAAGAGGGTCCTCAGTGCCCAAAAGTGGCAGTTTCCATTGGCAGAGCAGGCACATCACCTGCGTATATGCAATAAAGCCAGATGCCCTTTCTAATAGCCTAGAGAGCTTTCAGAGTCTCAGATCAGAAAATAGCACTGAGAGATTTGCCTTACAATGCCTATGTAATGCCATGAGAACTGCAAATTAGAAAATGTCAGCAAAGATAATTTGCTAAGTTTGGAATTAAAAATCTAGAAGTCCAAAAAGATGTGTACTGAGGAGATCATCAAGCATGTATGAGGAAACAGAACCGGGATGGCATTACAGGACGATGATGTAGTTACTGGGAAGCAGGCCACCTTCATAGTTTGCATATTTTGGAAATATGTTCTATCTAATTGTGTAACTTTGCTGAAAAATGAGTGACTTGACTTGCTGATTCTGAATTAATTACCTGGCTGTTAAAAGAATTTCTAGAAGAGCACTCAAAATTTCTGTAACCAATAATGGTATCTGCCCATGTTTTCTCATCTGCCTTTTCACTTGCAAATCTTTCCTGATTTCTAAAACTGTGTAAGGGACCCATATACTGGACTTTAGAGACTGGTCATAAAAAATAGGTTGACTCCATTGCTGGATTGTGGGGAGAGAGGGAGGAGAGAGGAGGTTATTTGGGAAGATCAAGGTCTAATCTTAGAAGAATCAGCACTTGAGAATGAAAAAGAGGTAAAAACAAAGGTAAAAATGTAACTGGTGACAAGGCCACAAACTGAAAAATTAGGGGAAAACCCACCTTTTTTTAAACCATTTTTTAAATTGAAGTATAGTTAATTTACAATGTTGTATTAGTTTCAGGTGTACAGCAAAGTGATTCAGTTATATGTGTGTGTATATATACATATATATGTATATATATCAGTTTCATATACATATATCTCTATTCTTTTTCAGATTCTTTTCCATTATAGGTTATTATAAGATATTGAATACAGTTTCCTGTGCTATACAGTAGGTCCTTGTTGTTTATCTATTTTATATATAGTGGTGTGTATCTGATAATCCCAAACTCCTCATTGATCTCTCACCCACCCCCCACTATCCCCTTTGGTAACCAAATTTGTTTTCTGTGTCTGTGAGTATTTCTGGAAAACCCTTTAACCTTTTAAAATTAAAATGATTAGAGTCTGTAGATGAATACTTACCCTAAATTTAATGACTCTGCATCACTACCTTCACTGAATATAAAAGCTCTATCAGTTTTTTTGAGAATTACAGAAGTCTTCTACCCAACTTTCTGTGTCATGGCCTCGATTTTTTCAGTTATTTATTCACCATTTAGTATTTATTAAGCACACACCATGTACCAGATACATAGTCAGTCCTGTCCCATGGCTTGGAGTATTAAGGAAAGAGATAAGCCATTGCAAGTTTGATTATGATAGGGAAGTACTTTTTTGCATGTGGAAACATAACAAGGGAACCTAATTTAGACAGGAAATGGTGAAGTAATCTCATTCCAATGAAGAGGTGTTTTAAGTTTGGTTAGATCCTCCTAAGAGTGCTTTGTGAGGGGAGAGTGCATGTCTTCTTACTTCTTCATGGTACCTAGTGCAAAACCTTATG